CAATATTGTGAGAACATTGATCCTTATTGTAGTTTCCTTCAACAAGACGCTCGGCTGTTTCCGTAAATTCCGACCTGCCAATCGGCAATCCTCAGCTGACTCCGCTACCTCCATACAAACCTCGGATGTGATTGGTGGAGGAATGTGTATCAAATCAATTACATTTCTCCGCCGAAAACTGCCTAGTAACTCATTTAAAATTTCGCTTTGCATAAAGTTCTTCAAAAAGTTTTTTTTCCTCTTGTCTAACTCTATCTTTTATATTTGTTTTGATTACAACATCATGTAATTAGTCTTTGAAAGCAACAACCTAGTGTTGGGCGTGCCACAAAGTAGCTCAGATTTCAAAGGTATACATTTGGAGGAATTTCAAAGAAGATCACATGACTGTATCAGCAACATGGTAGAACACCGTTGACGTCCGAGGTTAGTGTGCGAAATACTAGCAACCCGAGGAGCTCCGAGTGCCGACCTGCTCGTCGGAGTGTACGGTGACAGCCGCCATTTTGGACCCGCTTCAAATTTTAAAGTGCGAATACCTAGAGTTTGAATTCATCTTTTTGAAAACAAATAATAAATCAAGCATTTGCAGAAGGGTCTCTATTAACACTACTACTATCAAAGAAAAATGTTGAAAATTAAAAAAGTTTAAAAATTCAATTTTTTAGATTTGCATCCAGTAACGACCGGAAGTACTGACGACGAACGAAAGGTCACGTCCCGGCTAGGATTTATTACGACCTATAATCCCTGAAAGTTTCACATTGATATCTTTTACCGTTCCTGAGATTATCCGCGGACAAAATGTCACTTTAAATTCAGAAAATGGTCTGTAACTTGGCACCGAAAGTGAATTTCCAAATTTTCTCTCAGATAGATCAAGTTCATGTTACGACACATCTTTCCTGAAAATTTCATGTAAATCCATCCAACAGTCTTCGAGAAATCGCGTGCACAAAATTAGAAAGTCAAAAAAATAATAAAAATAATAATAATAATAAGAAACAGTAGAATCACTATAGGTCTTCCGTTGAAAACGGAAGACCTAAATATATAAATAGTGCTTGTTTTTGAAAGTTGAAGTTGACAACTGACAATGTTTTCCGAGAGGGGGTCAGTTTCAACAGTTACCATAAAAATGTGCACTATTTATTATACTGAATGTTTCATTATGGTTTCAATATGTCTGCTTGTCTATCTTTCTGTAAAATTACAAAATGTTAAATCCATCTAAACCAATTGGATTTTAGTGGTTAGAGCATCTGCTCTAGAGTCACGAAGTAAGGAGTCGATCCTTATGTCGCCGGTTCGAATCCCACTGTGGGACATCCTTTGGATGAGACCATATAAACAGAGGTCCTGTGTCGCAGAAGGTGCTGGATCCCTCACTGCTCAATGGCCCTAAGTGCCGAGTATAGGACAAAATTTGCAGCTCTCCACCGGCAAGTGGTGGCGTCTCCATGAGTGAAAAATTCTCGAGAGGGACGTAACAACATACAAACAAACAAATTATATGCAAGATTAGTTGACATGCATGTTTATGATGTTTTTATGCAGTTGTTAACATATATGTATACAGTGCATGTACAGAGGGCAAAATTATGCCAAAATAACAAGAAAAATCAGCTTTACTCTCAGAAAATAAACCTGCCTAAATTTACATTTTTTCCCACCATAATCAGATAGTATTCAACATTATTTTCATTTTTTATGAAAGGCAGTTAAAAATAGTTCTTAAATTGAAGATTATATGATTTTCTAGGTATATGGCTTCATGAGACAGGAATTTTAGGGGCTTCACCTGCTGGTTTTGTGCAAGGAACTTTCAAAGACAGCTTGAATGTGTACCATCAGCAACCTCGTGATAGGATTTCACCTGATATAGTAGAAATCAAGTGCCCTTTCTCAGCAAAGGATATGACAGTTGCAGCTGCATGTACTAGAATCAAGGATTTCTACTTAGGTACTTGTTAGATTTATTGCCATATATACTGATGAGCTCTTGCTTGTTTATAAACATATATTATGAGATATATACATGTATGAGGTTTCCTCTTCAATGTTTTACCATAGATTGCTTGCATTTTTTCGAAGAATATCAATTGAATTAAACATGTTAAATAAGGTGATCAAATTATAATTTTGTGGTACTGTATTACTGTTGCAGTTGCTGAAGAAGATGGGAGTCTAAATCTGAAGAAGACACACGACTACTGGCATCAGATTCAAGGACAGCTTCATTTATCAGGAACTTGTTGCTGTGACCTTGTCATATGGACTCTAGTGGACTTGAAAATTGTCAGGATATTGAAAGACGACACATGGGCTCAAAACATTTCAACAATGTTAGACTTTTATTTTTCCAAGTTTCTGCCATCTTTGTCGGAATGAATGATTGATGACATATATGTACATTTAATACAGTAAAAGATGTGAAACACATATGTCCATGTATGGCAGCATATAGCAAAGGTTAAGTTTCTCAAATACAAGTCAAACTCAATAATGCCTAAGGAAAAAAGGTTCTGCTATGCTTGTAAATTACTGGTTGAAAATGAAAAACTTTTTGTACGTTACTGTCCTGTGTAAGACAATTTTCATATTTCAATATTGTGATATTTTATATGACAAATTTTTCAGAGTCACTGATCCCATTAGAGAAATTGTTATCCCATGTGATTATAGTACCACAAAATGTATATGTAACTACTTTAGATAAATGCTTTAAGCAGAGAAAACAAATCCAGGGACTATAAAGAATTGTGTAAAATTGTATTGCATGCTATAGCTGTAGTAGTGTGTGAGTTGATTTATTTTAACAGATTATAAAATAAATTTAATTTAAAACATTTATCATTTACAGTAACAGCTTTCCATAAATTTATTCTCATTCTATTTAAATATGTCAGAAATGGATTTCCATACCAGTTCTGGTCAGTTTTTCATGGATCATTGAATTCTTGTTTTGGTTGGCTGAAAGTTTAAGTCATGTGATTTTTATCTTGAAGTTTCTATTAATATTATTATTTTTCAAATTGAGTCTGAAATGATCAGTTTGGTCATTCAGTTCTTGTGATATATTGATCTTGGACTTTATTTATCCATAGAAGGTCAGTTGATTTTAATATTATAAATACATTCATTTGATGAATAGTAAAAGTGAATGTGTGAATCATTTTTTTATAAATTAATAAGTAAAGAGTATATTATGATATTTGTTATTATTCAGATCCACTTGATATGATGTACATGTAGCTGAATTGCTGTATATATAACAAGGGTCTGATACCATATATTGGGTAAGATATGTGATGTATATGTTTGTATCATGTTAGGTGTAATGTGAGTCTGTATATTATGTATTTACATTCCATTGTTATGTGAATCATAACGGGAAACGTATCTATTTCATTAATAGTAGTGACTTACATTTGAATATCTGCTGTCGTATTTTATTCACTGAAGTTTACAAGAATTACGATATACAAAGAAAGTAAATCATATACAGTTAATTATAGTTTTTGTAGGAATAATCTCAATATTATACTAATATGAGAAATAGTTTTTATGCCTGAAATATTTATTGAATAGTGAGTATTAAGAAACAAGAAGAGTTATCTCTCTTTGTGTATTTTATATGTGTGTGTGTTGTTGTGTGTTAAATAATGTCTGTGTTTATTTCAGACTGTTGAATATTGAATATTGAATATTGGATATATAAAGGATTGGAACACCAACAATATTTGTTACTTTGTGAACCCGGTAACAAATGGCGCCCATGTAGGGACTTTGGCTCGACTTCGACTACGACTGTGAACGAATCGCCATTTCGGTATTCATCCGCCAGGAGTTTTCCCGCAAAGTGACGTCATTCGCCATGGTCTTCAAACGGAAGTGACCTTTAGCTGAATTTCCGGAAGTTCCACATGTAAACAGTGAAGTAACCGTGAACTGTGAACTACATTGAATTTGAGGTACTGTTTTATTAACTTACAGCGTGTGTTACAACGTAAGTGAACTGGTGGACAACAAGACCGAATGATTAAACTTATGGATAAAGTTCAAGACTTTTAAATTTATTTTTTTTTGTCTATATTTGATTTTTGCTTGCAAACTTGCAGGAAAGACTTTGTCATTTGACATTTCTTATATTGATAATTTAGCATACACTTTGACCGTGTGTGTAGATATTGGTCTACACTATATTGTATACATATAGATTGATTTTTCTGATTTTTCTTTTGCATGAACTGATATATTTTTGTGTGTGTGTGCATTAGAAGGTTATAATATATAAGCATCTGTTTTACAACTTCTTGGTGCAATATGAGCATGTTTATATGCTAAGATTATCTACTCTGAAGTTGAGTGACCTTGACCGGAAGTAACCTGAATTTACATTATTGACAAAAGGCCTGGTATTTCCTGATTGAGAACCAACTTGTACATATTTAGAAAGCAATTATTAGAATTTATTTTTTTTTCACTTGAGAAATATTTTACAAGCAAAGAAGAATATTGCTATTTAATTACAAGGTGTTGATAAGAGTTTAGTATCAGATACAGTCTGTAGGTGTCATATATAGAGGAATTAATTAAGTAGTACAAAGTTAGTTCAGTTGGTGTTTATTTTTATTTGGGTTATTGCCAACTGAGGTGTGTCATTTACATTGAGTTTATTTTTTTTTTTTTTTATAAGTTTTCAATTGGTGTCAATTGAAAACTGATTGTTGATTTAAAACTTAGTTAAATTTAAGTGAACTTGGAAAAACTTGATAGTAAATCAAATTAAATTTAAAGACAGCTATTAATAAATTTATCAGGATATAAATAAAATTTAAATAGCTATACTAAATTGAAATAAATTAAACTTTAATTAAATACATTTAGTCGAGTAAAATACAATTTAAAATAGCGATGTAAAAGCAATATTAACCACCAGACCCTCAAGAACAATTGTCCATATCAACTTTTGAAATAACCCTACATAACTGTACAAAATGGGAACGCCAGAGGAATACCAGAAATTAGTTGAAACCCTTCAGGGTATGGAAGTAGTACCAAAAGCTGATTCTAAAGAAGAATTAATCAATTGGATGAAAGCGTACCTGGAAAAAGAGAAAGTGGAAATCAAGATTGAACCTGGAACTGGTGCGAATGCTGGTGCCATTCCTAAAACGACTACCTATATTCATCCTCCTGCCATTAGTACATTTTCAGGAACAGATCCAACAGGAAAGAGTGCTACTACATTTGACCTATGGCTGTATGAAGTCAAGTGTCTTATGATTGAGAAAACCCATTCACAAGAAGCAATTGCTCAGGCAATTAGAAAATCATTGAAGGGCGAGGCAGGACGGACTGTAATGAGACTTGGACCTAAAGCAAAGATTCCAGAAATATTGGATAAACTTACAAGTGTTTATGGAGACGTAGATGAGAAAGAATCTATCCTTAGTGAATTCTATGGTGCAAGGCAGAAACAGACTGAAAACATCACAGAATGGAGCTGCAGATTGGAAGATATTCTGGGAAGAGCGATAATGACAGGTCAAGTTTTTGAAAGCAGTTCTGACAAGATGCTACATGATATGCTATGGAAAGGATTAAGACCAGATTTGAAAGACATTACACACTATGAGCGAGAGAAATACCACTCATTTGATTCACTTCGAGTAGCATTGAGGAAAATTGAAAAAGAAAATCAACAAGAAAGTGAAGGGAAAATTTCTAAACAGCTATCAAAGAAGGCCATTGTTGAAGATACATCATCATCAGATGAGATAAAAGGAGTATTAAAGCAAATTACACACAGATTAGAAAATCTAGAGACTGCACAACGAGGTAGATCAAAATTTAGAACACCATTCAGAGGATCACGGTATCGAGATCAGACCTACAGGGGTAGAGGATTGAGAAATGATTTTACTCGAACGAAGCAAAGCAGTAAGGAACATTTTACTTTTCCTAGCATTACCTGCAGACGTTGTGGAAGAGAGGGACACATCGAGAGAGGATGTCGTGCCAACACTGATGTCCATGGAAAGAATTTAAACTAGATGCTGTCTATGCGCTAGGGTCGGCCGTAGACAAACAACCTAAGGACCCTTTGATTGCAAAAATGGCTAAATATTTACCACCTGGAATATGCGGTAAACCTACAGAAACCAGTATTATTATCAACAAAATAGAAACTCAAACACTTTTAGACACAGGATCAACCGTTTCGACTATCAGCAGAAAGTTTTATGAAGAAAATTTGAGCAACATTCCTATCCAGAAATTAGAGTTATTACTTGATATTGAATGTGCAGATGGAAAATCATTACCCTATGAAGGATTCATTGAAGCTGAATTAGAAGTACCTAAAATCAGACATAAATTTAGTGCCATTTTATTAGTCATTCCAGAGAGTAATTACAACAACTCAGTACCCCTACTGCTTGGAACAAATGTCTTGGGTGTGATTACGGAAATACTTCAACAACAAGAAGGTGAAAAATATCTACAGAAATCTAACTTGACAACCGAATGGTACCTTACATTTAGATCCATACACTTACGAGAAAAAGAGTTGCAGAGAAACAGTTCAAAGTTGGCCATTGTGAGAAATGCACAAAAGAGAATCATTATTCCACCAAACAGTAATATAACTTTGACAGGATATTTGGACAAGAAGATTCCTTATCACCATACAGCAGCTATGTTACAGAGAACAGAAAGATCAGTAGTACCTGAGGATTTAGATATTGTACCATCTCTTATGGAGTACAGATACATGGACAGCAACTTGATAGAAGTAGAAATCAGCAATATAACAACCAGAACTGTATCAATACCAGAGAAGGCTATTATCTGTGAAATACAACCAGTATCCATTGTACAGAACTCCACCTATGCTACTAACAATGAATCACTACAACAAATGGATAAAATCACCATAGATGAGAAAACTTTGACAAAGGAAGAACTTGTTCGAGGAAGAAATATGATATACAATTATGCAGATATATTTTCAACAGGAGATACTGATGTTGGACATATAAGAACAGTACAACACAGGATTGAGTTAAAGGATGAATATCCATTCAAGCAACGTTATCGAAGAATTCCACCATCAATGATAGGCGAAGTTAGACAACATCTGAAATTATTACTACAATCTGGCATTATTAGAAAATCTCATTCTCCATGGTCTTCCAACATTGTATTAGTCAAGAAGAAAGACAACTCTCTTCGTTTTTGCATTGATTTTCGACAGTTAAACAAGAGAACAAAGAAAGATGCATATGCACTACCTCGTATTGAAGAACTTTTAGATTCCATGGCAGGCAACAAATACTTTTCAGTCATCGATATGAAATCAGGATATCATCAAGTAGAAATTTTCGAACCTCATAAAGAACGCACTGCTTTTACAGTCGGCCCACTTGGACTGTACGAGTTCAACAGAATGCCATTTGGTCTGACAGGAGCGCCAGCCACTTATCAAAGATTGATGCAGGATATTTTGGGAGAGTTGCACATGAAGATCTGTTGCATATTCATAGACGACATTATCATCTTTTCATCTACATTTGAAGAACACCTAACAAGACTGAAGCAAGTGTTTGATCGGATCAGAGATGCCAACTTAAAACTATCACCAAAGAAATGCTCATTTTTTAAAACCAAAGTCAAATATGTAGGACACATTATATCAGAAGAGGGTGTAGAGACTGATCCAGAAAAGATTGAAAAGATCATCAATTGGCCTACTCCAGCTAGTCCTGAAGAAGTCAGAAAGTTCATTGGATTTGCAGGTTATTACCGAAGATTTATTCAACACTTCAGCCAAATTTCAAAACCTCTTACTGAACTTATGCCAATCAACAATAAGAAGAAAACCAAGAAGAAACCAGTAAAGCAGAAAGAATGGATTTGGGGAAATGAACAACAAGCAGCTTTTGAAACATTAAAGAAGAAACTTTCAACATCACCAATTTTAAGTTATCCAGATCATGATCGACCATTTGAAATTCACACTGATGCTAGCAGTTCAGGACTTGGAGCCATTTTATATCAAGAGCAGAATGGGATAAAGAGGGTTATTGCATATGCCAGCCGCAGTTTATCAAAGTCTGAACAACACTATCCCGCACATAAGTTAGAATTCTTGGCGTTAAAATGGGCTCTATGTGATAAATTCCATGATTATCTCTACGGAAACACCTTTATGGTAGTCACAGATAACAACCCATTAACTTATGTGTTAACCACAGCTAATTTGGATGCTACGGGACATAGATGGCTAGCTGCTCTTGGAGTCTACAATTTTGAAATCATATACAGGCCAGGAAAAAGTAATGTGGATGCAGACAGTTTATCAAGATTACCCACATCAAAAGATAGTACTCACATTTCAGCAGATTCTATCAAATCTATTTGTAATAGGATATGCATTCCATATATTGAAACAATATCTTGTGAGCAGAATACTTTATGCCCAGCTGAGATAGATCTTCAGATGAATATGAGACATGATGTCAATTGGTCAGAGATACAGAACCAGGATCCAGTACTAAAAGCTTGGAAAGAACATGTACGTAGAGGAAAGAAGCCAAAGCGAGGACAAATGCCAAATAGTCCATTTTTCAAACTTTTTGATCAGCTTATATTGGAAGATGATACATTGTACAGGAAAACAATAGTACAGGATAAAGAGAGGAAACAGCTTATACTGCCATCACTACACATTAACAATGTACTAGAAGCATTACATGATGAAATGGGCCATCAAGGGCGAGACAGAACAACCAGCCTTATTCGTGACAGATTCTATTGGCCTGGAATGACAACTGACATCGACAACTGGATTAGCCACTGTCAAAAGTGTATCAAGAGGAAAAAGGAACCTAGTATTGCACCACTAGTGAACATTCAGACAACTCAACCCCTAGAACTTGTTTGTATTGACTTTCTTTCGCTAGAAAAATCTAAAGGAGGCTATGAAAACATTTTAGTTATAACAGATCACTTTACCAGATATGCGCAAGCTATACCGACCAGAAACCAAACAAGCAAAAACTACTGCAGAAACTTTGTTCAACTATTTTATTGTAAATTATGGAATACCACAAAGAATTCATTCGGACCAGGGGGCAAATTTTGAGAGCAACTTAATCAAAGAATTATGTAACTTAACAGGAATTGATAAATCCAGAACTACTCCCTATCATCCGATTGGCAATGGCATGACGGAGAGATTCAATCGCACTCTATTAAATATGCTTGGAACTTCAGATGCAAACAAGAAACAGAACTGGAAATCACATGTTGCAACTATGGTACATGCCTACAATTGTACTAAACATGAATCTACAAGAGAGTCACCTTATTTCCTCATGTTTGGGCGAGAACCAAATTTACCAGTGGATATCGCATTTGGTTTAACAAGAAAAGAAAATAAAAAACCTAATACCAAATATATTCAAGATTTAAGAGAGAGACTATTGGAAGCATACAGAGTGGCCACAGAACAGATACAGAGAGCGCAGAAGAAACAAAAAGACAGATATGACTTAAGATCCAGAGGAACAGTGGTACAACCTGGTGATAAAGTTCTTGTAAAGATTGTAGCATTTGATGGCAGGCATAAACTGGCCAATAAATGGGAAGATGATATATATGTAGTGATAAAACAGCCTAATCCAGAGATTCCTGTTTATACAGTGAAGAAGCAGAATGGTCAAGGCAAGGAAAGAACACTACACAGGAACCTTTTATTTCCTATCGGATTCATATCGGAGGATAATGTTAATTCCACAAAGATTTCAACACAAACAGAAAGGAAAACAAGACCAATTCCAAAGCCTAGAACAAAATCTAAAGCTATAATTCATGAAAGCTCATCAGAAGAAGATGATTCAGAAGAAGTCATTGTAGTTACTGAGGATAGTCTGACTTCATCCAGTCATGACAAAGATGTTCAGTTTTCTACAGAAGATGTTGTTACAGAATTAGAAAGAAGCGCTTCAGATACAGAAATTGGTGAGATAGATGAAACAGAAAACACCGGTGTTGAAAAGAGTATGGACGACACTGTTGAAGATAGTATTGAAGATACTGTTGTAGATGAAGACAGTGCTACAGATGTTGATGAAGGGAATATTGATGATGATGAGTTACATGAAGCCGAGGCTGAGGAAGTTGATTCTGCAGTCAAAGCTGACACTGAAGATGAAGCCGAGGCTGAGGAAGTTGATTCTGCAGTCAAAGCTGACACTGAAGATGAAGCTGAGACTGAGGAAGTTGATTCTGCAGTCAAAGCTGACACTGAAGTTGAAGCCGAGGCTGAGGAAATTGATTCTGCAGTCAAAGCTGACACTGAAGTTGAAGCAGCAGAAGTAGTTGATGAAGAGGAAGTAGTCCCTAGGCGTTCAATCAGAAAGAAAGGAAAGCCAAAGTGGATGACTACAGGTGAATTTGTGTCGAAATCCTCTATAACAAAAGATCGTGAGTGGAGAGAAAAAGCAGATTATGCTGTGCAATTAATTAAGAGTGGTGTAATTAAAGAGACACCAAATTCTACCGATGCAATTTTACAAATCATTTTAAAATCGTAATGGATGTTTGCTGATATATGAACATTTTTTTCAAAATGTAATTCAGGGAAATCATGTTTAATGTTTTCATTTACCAGGATGATTAGCATGAAATGACATGGAAGTCATTTATTGAACGAGGGGGAGTATGTAGTAGTGTGTGAGTTGATTTATTTTAACAGATTATAAAATAAATTTAATTTAAAACATTTATCATTTACAGTAACAGCTTTCCATAAATTTATTCTCATTCTATTTAAATATGTCAGAAATGGATTTCCATACCAGTTCTGGTCAGTTTTTCATGGATCATTGAATTCTTGTTTTGGTTGGCTGAAAGTTTAAGTCATGTGATTTTTATCTTGAAGTTTCTATTAATATTATTATTTTTCAAATTGAGTCTGAAATGATCAGTTTGGTCATTCAGTTCTTGTGATATATTGATCTTGGACTTTATTTATCCATAGAAGGTCAGTTGATTTTAATATTATAAATACATTCATTTGATGAATAGTAAAAGTGAATGTGTGAATCATTTTTTTTATAAATTAATAAGTAAAGAGTATATTATGATATTTGTTATTATTCAGATCCACTTGATATGATGTACATGTAGCTGAATTGCTGTATATATAACAAGGGTCTGATACCATATATTGGGTAAGATATGTGATGTATATGTTTGTATCATGTTAGGTGTAATGTGAGTCTGTATATTATGTATTTACATTCCATTGTTATGTGAATCATAACGGGAAACGTATCTATTTCATTAATAGTAGTGACTTACATTTGAATATCTGCTGTCGTATTTTATTCACTGAAGTTTACAAGAATTACGATATACAAAGAAAGTAAATCATATACAGTTAATTATAGTTTTTGTAGGAATAATCTCAATATTATACTAATATGAGAAATAGTTTTTATGCCTGAAATATTTATTGAATAGTGAGTATTAAGAAACAAGAAGAGTTATCTCTCTTTGTGTATTTTATATGTGTGTGTGTTGTTGTGTGTTAAATAATGTCTGTGTTTATTTCAGACTGTTGAATATTGAATATTGGATATATAAAGGATTGGAACACCAACAATATTTGTTACTTTGTGAACCCGGTAACATAGCCATTATATTCTATTTTTTCTTTTTTTTCCCCCTGTTATCTGTCATTCAAATTCTCATTTTGATTGTATACCAATATGGTGAAGTCTAATTTGAATTGAATTGCATACTTTTAATATACTGAAGTAAACCACTGGCTGTAAATCACAATATTTATATTCTTTATGTATTTTTCTTATACGTTATAAAATATGTTGAAAGTTCCTGCAATTATAATAACACAAAAGAGTAGGTCAAAAGCTGTTTTAAAATTCTTTGTTTGTAAATATTGATAATCCTCAAGTGACCAAGAAAAGAAAGGCATATCATTGGATTTCATGTATCTGATAATTACGTACATAATATGGTTGAAATTGCATAAAATATTGAATTTTTTATCTGTACATTTAAATACATTAGAACTTCGGTATCTCGAACACCAATATTTTTGAATACCATGGATTTGTGAAAGTGATTTTGAAGTCCCAACCGTTTATTCCTTAAGTATTTTACCCTGGATATCTCAAATCCTCGGATATCTGGAAGTATTTTCTCAGTCCCTTTGAATTCGAGATAACAAGGTTAACTGTAAATGGTTTTTACGTAGACTTAATCAATTAATTGATAGCAATTGGTTTTTATAACTTATAAGATACAGAAATAAAGATGAAAATATTCTGAGGATAACAATAAAACATGATATAAATGTCAAAACATTGCATTTCATTGCATAATGTATTTTACTGTATTACCACATCTCTGACTCATTCTCCTGTCCTACCTCATATTTGTCAGCAATCTCTTTAAGGAGAGGAGCCTGAAGATTAACTAAACAGCAGCATAATTGAAAGATTTTTGTTGTCATATGTCTGTACTGAGATGGAACATGGCTGAGGATTTCATAGTTTTTAATTCTTTCATTGGCTCTTTCAACATGAATTCTACTGCGTCCGATTTTATAGCACAGTTTTGCCTCTTCTCTGGTAAAATGAGATTTACTAGACAAAAATGGTGGGATGTTTAATGATACTCCTGCAGGAAGTTTGTCAAAAATATTGAATCCTTTATCTGCAAGAATTAGATCTCCAGGCTGTATTTGGTCAAGAACTTTGCAGTGCTCAACTATGGCAGCATCTGAGGTGGATCCAGGATATAAATCGGATGTGAATACAAGGGCACCATTTGGAGCAACACATGTTACGGCCTTTACAGTATGACGGCTTTTATAGTTGCTGTAAGTAAGAGACTGACTGTTCATATTGGATGGAATGTCTTGAGTAATTTCAGTGGCATCCATGGCAATCCTTGCTGATGTAAAATCTTCAAACGATTTCGGCATAGATCCTTTGCATTTTAGTTGAGAAGGGATGCCTACTGCCTTTAATACACCATCAAAAAAGATTTCATGAAGGACAGAAATAAACGTGTTCACAATATTTGATACTGTAGAACGGCTTGTCCCAAATCTAACGGCAAGGTCTAAATCTCTAAAGTTTAATCTAAGTTTTATTAAACATATGAGCAGCTGGTCCTCAAGGCTGAAGCAGGTGACCTCCCATCCAGCAAAGTAATTAAATGGCGCCATTCGTCTGAGAACCTGTACAATTACGTTGAATACATCTGCTGGAAATGATGTGTAAAGCAACATCTGAAAAAAGAAAAAAAAACAATTCTTCAGTTCAGGGGCTGACAAATCCCATTGCCTGACGCCCGGGGCTAGTGGATTTTAGGGATGGGCAAGTGAAATTTTACCAACCACTGGCCCGTGGGCAAGTGACTGAAAAAAAAAAAAAATAAATTCAATATGGATGTCACAGATTTAAAGCTGGGCTTAGGGGCTTGCATGATCTACTCAGTAATTGTCTTCATATTTTTTTTTTAAATATATATAAATACAGTGTTAGTTTATGGTGGGGCAAACAAAAATTCATGTAGGGCAAGTGAATTTTGACCATGCACTTGCCCTTGGACAAGTGCCTAAAATTTATATTTGTCAGCCCCTGCATTACCACAAAAAATCTCGCAAAGAACAAATATCATTATTGTTGGCATACAGACCAAGAACATTTATGATTAAAAAATTCTCTAAGGGATGTTAAAGAACCAAAAAAAAAAAAACAAAAAACAAATGAGCTAGCCCATTGTTTATGAAAAAAAAGTAAAAGTAAAGACCCATGAACTCATGAAATAAAATGACTTGGTTTTCACTTTCATTTTTATATTGCTGAAAAAAATTAAATACTCTGTCCAGTCATGGATTCTTGTTCTTACCATTTGACACCTACAAGTCATTGTGTAGTCCACAGTACCCACAGAAAATAAGGCACATACAGTAACCCTTTTTCAAAGGATACTTCATGCCAAGTTTGGTTGAAATTAACCTATTTGTTCTGGAGAAGAAGAAAGAATTTTGAAAATTTACAATTATAGCAACAACTTTGACAAAAGACAAGTACTGATCACATAAGCTTGCCTGAACCTTTGGCCAAAGGTGAACTAAAATTGCAAAGGGTACTCAAGGACTATGTCAGGTGGTGATAAACAAATTTCACTTAAGACTCAGGTCACCTAAAAACATCTTATTACACTGTAAATCAACTTTTTTTCGTGAGCGAGAAATATCCATGAGTTTCACGACCTTTCATTCGCGGATATTTCTTGTCATGAACCAATTATTCAGAATAATAATAAATAATAGAATGTTGTCTCAGTTGTACACAGTAGTAGTCTCATATGAAGTATTGCAATTATATAATAGCGGGTTAAAGTAAATATGGATTCTGAAGTATTGCAATTATATAATAGTGGGTTAAAGTAAATATGGATTCTGAAGTATTGCAATTATATAATAGTGGGTTAAAGTAAATATGGATTCTGAAGTATTGCAATTATATAACAGTGGGTTAAAGTAAATATGGATTCTGAAGTATTGCAATTATATAATAGCGGGTTAAAGTAAATATGGATTCTGAAGTATTGCAATTATATAACAGTGGGTTAAAGTAAATATGGATTCTGAAGTATTGCAATTATATAACAGTGGGTTAAAGTAAATATGGATTCTGAAGTATTGCAATTATATAACAGTGGGTTAAAGTAAATATGGATTCTGAAGTATTGCAATTATATAACAGTGGGTTAAAGTAAATATGGATTCTGAAGTATTGCAATTATATAATAGCGGGTTAAAGTAAATATGGATTCTGAAGTATTGCAATTATATAACAGCGGGTTAAAGTAAATATGGATTCTGAAGTATTGCAATTATATAATAGTGGGTTAAAGTAAATATGGATTCTGAAGTATTGCAATTATATAATAGCGGGTTAAAGTAAATATGGATTCTGAAGTATTGCAATTATATAATAGCGGGTTAAAGTAAATATGGATTCTGAAGTATTGCAATTATATAATAGTGGGTTAAAGTAAATATGGATTCTGAAGTATTGCAATTATATAATAGTGGGTTAAAGTAAATATGGATTCTGAAGTATTGCAATTATATAATAGTGGGTTAAAGTAAATATGGATTCTGAAGTATTGCAATTATATAATAGTGGGTTAAAGTAAATATGGATTCTGAAGTATTGCAATTATATAATAGTGGGTTAAAGTAAATATGGATTCTGAAGTATTGCAATTATATAATAGTGGGTTAAAGTAAATATGGATTCTGAAGTATTGCAATTATATAATAGTGGGTTAAAGTAAATATGGATTCTGAAGTATTGCAATTATATAATAGTGGGTTAAAGAAAATATGGATTCTGAAGTATTGCAATTATATAATAGCGGGTTAAAGTAAATATGGATTCTGAAGTATTGCAATTATATAATAGTGGGTTAAAGTAAATATTGATTCTGAAGTATTGCAATTACATAATAGTGGGTTAAAGTAAATATTGCTACTGAAGTATTGCAATTATATAATAGCGGGTTAAAGTAAATATGGATTCTGAAGTATTGCAATTACATAATAGTGGGTTAAAGTAAATATTGCCACTGAAGTATTGCAATTACATAATAGCGGGTAAAAGTAAATATTGATTCTGAAGTATTGCAATTATATAACAGTGGGTTAAAGTAAATATTGATTCTGAAGTATTGCAATTATATAACAGTGGGTTAAAGTAAATATTGATTCTGAAGTATTGCAATTATATAACAGTGGGTTAAAGTAAATATGGATTCTGAAGTATTGCAATTATATAATAGTGGGTTAAAGTAAATATGGATTCTGAAGTATTGCAATTATATAATAGTGGGTTAAAGTAAATATTGATTCTGAAGTATTGCAATTATATAACAGTGGGTTAAAGTAAATATTGATTCTGAAGTATTGCAATTATATAACAGTGGGTTAAAGTAAATATTGATTCTGAAGTATTGCAATTATATAACAGTGGGTTAAAGTAAATATTGATACTGAAGTATTGCAATTATATAATAGTGGGTTAAAGTAAATATTGATTCTGAAGTATTGCAATTATATAACAGTGGGTTAAAGTAAATATTGATTCTGAAGTATTGCAATTATATAACAGTGGGTTAAAGTAAATATTGATTCTGAAGTATTGCAATTATATAACAGTGGGTTAAAGTAAATATTGATTCTGAAGTATTGCAATTATATAATAGCGGGTTAAAGTAAATATTGATTCTGAAGTATTGCAATTACATAATAGTGGGTTAAAGTAAATATTGCTACTGAAGTATTGCAATTACATAATAGTGGGTTAAAGTAAATATTGCTACTGAAGTATTGCAATTATATAATAGCGGGTTAAAGTAAATATGGATTCTGAAGTATTGCAATTACATAATAGTGGGTTAAAGTAAATATTGCTACTGAAGTATTGCAATTATATAATAGCGGGTTAAAGTAAATATGGATTCTGAAGTATTGCAATTACATAATAGTGGGTTAAAGTAAATATGGATTCTGAAGTATTGCAATAATAAAATAGTGGGTTAAAGTAAATATGGATACTGAAGTATTGCAATTATATAATAGCGGGTTAAAGTAAATATGGATTCTGAAGTATTGCAATTATATAATAGCGGGTTAAAGTAAATATGGATTCTGAAGTATTGCAATTATATAATAGCGGGTTAAAGTAAATATGGATACTGAAGTATTGCGATTATATAATAGTGGGTTAAAGTAAATATGGATTCTGAAGTATTGCAATTATATAATAGCGGGTTAAAGTAAATATGGATTCTGAAGTATCGCAATTATATAATAGTGGGTTAAAGTAAATATTGATTTAAGAAAAATTACCTTTTCATTGTCATTAAGGATATCTCCAACTGTCATTTTGGATGTCTGTGTTTTTAGCTTTTTAATTTCTTCCTCCAGTTCTTTAATTTCCTGCTCAAGTTTTTCAACTGCAAATGAAAAAAAAAAGTGAATAACAGTTCAGTGAAGGGGAACATGTGAACAGACCAGAATTTTTAACCTGGGACCTCTTAATAACTTACTCAGATGTTCTACCAACTAAGTAATCTGCCCACTTAAAAGTCTTCCTTAAGACAAAAAACCTAGATGTTCCAGAACATTGTATGGCACCAAATGGGTAGATGTCTAAGTCTTCAAGAACTTTAAAACAAAACAGGAATGTGGCAGTCAGACAGATCAAATGCCACTGTCCAAATTGTTCTTGGTACAGCATATGACTAGTGATTGATTGATTATTGTTTTACATTCAGTTTGAAAATTTTTCATTCATACAAAGATATCACCATATATCCGTGAAGAGCTTCAAATTTTGACCTTTACTCGGCACTCAATACAATAGAGAGATTGAGATTTTAAACTTGTACGCGTACGAGTACACAAACTTTGACACACACGTACACGTTTTTTTGGAATTTGTCTGTTAAGATTTAATGACGTGTAACATGAATGTGTAGACTGTAATCTGTGTCTCTGTTTCAACTATTTAGTAGTTTTGTGACATTAGTTTGACTTTATTTAGTGAACAAAACATGGTTAAAATAAGTGTTCATGAAACTTAACATTGTAAATATTTAACAACAATAACAGTTTCACACATAAATTGACTAGTTTTTTTTTAATAAAAACTACAAGTTTACACCTACGTGTAGAGGCCTTTTTACAAGTTGTAGGAACGTGTAGAAAACTATCAACACCAAAACCGATGACGTAATACGCAAGAAATTAAGGGAATTCCCCTAGTAGACGTACCCGTACATGTATGAAATCTCAACCTCTCTAATGAATGAAATTGTTTTTCCTACCTGAATTGGTCTTTCTTTGGATGGGAATAAATGTATCATCTGTTGTTACTGGTTTTACAAAATAGGAATGGTCAGTTTCTAGAGGTTTGTAAAGATGACTTTCTGCAATGTAATGGTCATGGCTTGCCATCATTGGTAGTGTAGAGTTTCCATCATTACCTTTATCGTCTTTGGATTTTTTTAACCTATAAAAATTGTATACATGTTTAAATTTGTAACAAATAAAAGAAACTTTATCTACATGTATTTGGGACCTTGCATATAAGAAACACAATTTAATGAGTTTTAAAATTTTGTTGCCATATCAAATATCTACAATAAATACATGTACATGTACTGTATCCCATAATTTAACACTTCTTGATGACAGAAATTTTGATAAGGTCCAATGTTCTCAAAAAGCCTTGTTTGTTCTGCTCACAATATAAGTTTGTATTGTTTGGTTGGACTTTTGAGCTTAATAATGCTTAATAATGTATTACTGTTCTTTAAGATTTTATTTAATATTACATTGTATTCCCCATGCAATAAATACAGGGGAATATCTGTCTATGACTTGTTTTGAGTACATCTCCCAATCTACATTTATAGCACATATTTCATTGAATTTTTATCATATTTATCAGTATAGTTGTCTGATGTATTCTGTCACTATTCTATGGGGCATTTAAATATGAGTACAGGTATTCAAATAATTCAATAAAATTCTGATTTCTCAATGATGCTTCAAAACATAAAATAAATACATACAATATTACCTCTTTGGAGTAGGTACTTCAGGAAAGTTGAAGGTCTTGTTGAAAGAAAAAATTGTTGGCCCATTTTCTTTCCTTCCCTCCACAAAATGACAACTACAGAGTCTATCATTCTCTGTATATTCTCTGTCTGCTCGCCTGAAGATAAATAAATCTATGGTGATTTTCCTTTTATCTTTCCCCCTTTTATTTATATTTAAGATATAAAATTGATATTTATAAAATATCTGTAAGTAACAGTTTTAACAGGCTTTGGCCATAAATAACTGGAATAACTTGGATCAGGTTTGTTTACATTTTCTTCAACAGTTCAAAGGTCTGAAGATCTAATTATTCTGTATTTCTCTCTCTCTTTCTCATATATATCTGTGTGAATTCTTTTTATTCAGTACCGAGTAGGCCATATACCTTATATTTCTAGTCTATTTATTTTTAATACTACTACTTAATACGATGGACGTAAACAGGTAAAGACACGGGTGTGTAGGGAGATGCTAATCTGCGTATTATATCGCAACTGTTCGTTAAAATTATACGCTGCAAAGGTATAAATATGCACCTACCGACATCTTTCAATCCACTTCTTTCTTTTCTTGGGGTCGGTGGGAAACCTATACAAACTGCAGTGCTGTTTCCCCCCAGTAATGTGCGTACAACCGAACGCAAAACAGTATGGCATCTTGTGTAGAACTGCCCGGAAGTCGCAAAACGAAAGTGAAAGTAAACGAGACTTACGGAGCCTATTATTCCTTCTGTGTATCGGTTTCTGATTTCGATGAACGGTTACTAAAAATAGAAATGTCTTTGAAATATTTTTTTTAAAATGCTACTCCTCCTACAATTTTGGTTTGATTTCAACATAACTTGGCACAATAGTAGACTACACTAAATACACAATTCTGTGTATCGGTTTTTAATTCCGATGAACGGTGTCGTCATGGTTACTAAAAATAGAAATTTCTTTGACATATTTTCAAATGCTACTTCTCCTACAGTTTTGGTCCGATTCCAATATAACTTGGCACACAGGTTACAGGTACTAAATCTTTTAAGATCGTCATCTTGATAATGATCAGTATTGTAAATAACATAGATGATGTATTTAATATATATCAACAGCAAAACATTTGAATGTAATATGTTTTTCTTGTGTGTGAGAACGTATGGGATCTAATTTTACCATATTCCGGTGTAGATAACTTGTCTCGGTCTTTAAATCGTTTTACAAGAAGCCAATTACTGCGAGGTGTAAAGCGCATTATCGAATAAGTCTGGATGAAAACTATGGAGAGAGTGGACAGAAGTAAAGACGTTTCCAGCATTGACAAAGATGTTAAAAAGAAATTTCGATGGGACTGGTTGAACTCGTGTGTTCCAGTGATATCAAGCAATGGAAATTTCAAAGGAGTGTCGATATCTGAATGAATTATAAAGATAAGTTCATCAGGGAAGGCAAAGTGCACATTGTGTACTAAAATCCCACCCTACCCCCAGGGGTCATCATTTGAACAAACTTGAATCTACACCACCTGAGGTTGCTTTCACATAAATATGACCAATCATGGCTTTTCTGTCCTTGAGAAGAAGATTTTTCCTATATATTCCTTTGTAAACATTTGATTGTCCATTGTGGCCCCACCCTACACCCGGGGTTCATTATTTTGAATAAACTTGAATCTACACTACCTGACGATGATTCCAATTGAGTTTCACCTTTCCTGGCTCATTGGTTCTTGAGAAGAAGATTTTTAAAAGATGCCATTCATTTTTCACTTCTATATAATTATCTCCCCTTGGAAGAGGGCGTGGCCCATCATTTGAACAAACTTGAATCCCCTTTACCCAAGGATAGTCTGTGTCAAGTTTGGTTGAAATTGGCCTAGTGGTTCGGGAGAAGAAGATTAAATTGTGAAAAATTAACGACGACGACAGACAACGGACAAATTTTGATCAGATAAGCTCACTTGAGCCTTTGGCTTAGGTGAGCTAAAAACTAGAAATTCGTTTCTCTGACAGAAAACTTAAGAAGGAAAAAGTACAAAGTCTTAAAGAAGAGCAAGAAAGAGAATTTAATGAGAGAGACCGATTGAAAAAGGAAGAGAAGCGTTCCAATTTATCTGAAGAGCAAAAGTCAGAAATTTGTGCCTCTGACAGAAAACGTAAAAAGAGAAAAAGCTACAAAGTCTTACAGAAGAGCAAAAAAGAGGATTTAATGAGAAAGACCGACTGAGAAAGGAAGAGAGCGTTCCAATTTATCTGAAGAGCAAAAGCCAAAACTTTGTTTCTCTGACAGAGAACGTAAAAAGGAAAAACTACATCTTCTTACAGAAGAACAAAACAGAGGAATTAATGATAAGAGACTGACTGAAAAAGGCAGAAAAGCGTTCCAATTTATCTGAAGAGCAAAAGTCAGAACTTTTTTTGACAGAAAACGTAGGTAGGAAAAACTACAAAGTCTTATAGAAGAACAAAAAGAGAATTCAATAAGAGAGACCGACTGAAAAAGGAAGAGAAGCGTTCCAATGTATCTGAAGAGCAAAGTCAGAACTTGTGCCTCTGACAGAAAACGCAAGAAGGAAAAACTACAAAGTCTTACAGAAGAATAAAAGAGAATTTAATGAAAGAGACCGACTGAAACAGGAAGAAGCGTTCCAATGTATCTGATGAGCAGAAATAAAAAAATTACGCTTCTGAAAGAACACATAAGAAGGGGAAACTACAAAGTCTTACAGAGGAACAAAAAAGAGGATTTAATGAAATGGACCGACAGGAATAAGAAGAGAAGCGTTCCAATTTATCTCAAGAGCAAAAGTCAGGACTTGGTTTCTCTGATAGAAAACGTAAGAAGGAAAAACTACAGTCTTACAGAAGAAGAAATGAAAACACTTTATGAAATTGAATCAATGAAGAAAAAAGAAGTGACAGAACACCTGAAGAAAAACAGCCAAACTAATCTAAAAGAAAGCAAAAGATTGATTGTATGTTGTTTTACGTCCCATTCGAGAATTTTTCATTCATATAGATACGTCAACATATACCGGTGAAGGGCTTCATTGACCTTTACTCGGCACTCAGGGCCATTGAGCAGTGAGGGAACTTTATCATACCAACGCCTGCCGTGACACGGGGCCTCGGTTTTTAAGCTCTCTTCGAAGGACCAGCAACTTTCACTTCAAAGTGCCGAGCGCATGGCGAAGGAACAGTTGCTACTTATTTTTTATCGACTTACGTCAGTCGCGGCCGAGATTCGAACTCACGACCTCCCGATCACGGAGCGAGCGCTCTACCGACTAAGCTACCGTGAACGGTGTAAGCAAAGAAAACAGGATTTTAGAACATTACAGAATGAAGATCAGTAATACAAAGATTTTCAAAAGACATCCAACAGTACCCAGAGTATTTTTACACATGTAGAAAAATGCGTTATATAAGAAGTGTAACACATGTTGGAGCAGAAACTTTCAAATATTCCTCAGAAGAAGTTCTAAACAATTGCATAACAGGAAGAATATTTGCCTTGGGATTTCAATGGATTTGTCAGTCTTGTGCTAGATATGTTAAAAAAAAAACAAATCCCCCCCCCCCCCCCCAGGCTGTTTATAATGATATGGAAGTTTCTGACATACCTGAAGAACTAGCAAAATTAACATCTCTAGAAAGAAAATTAATTTCTCGCAGTTACCCATTCATGAAAATGCTAGCATTACCAAAGGGGAAACAGAGTGGCATAAAAGGTGCAGTTTTAAATGTCCCTGTGAATGAAGAAAATTGCCAAGATATCAAATGAAGCTTTTGTTATCCCCTATTAAAGAGGAAAATTGTGTGCAAAAACATGCAAAATTTGAGTACATTAGACCAAACTACATCAAAGATGCATTGAATTGCTTGAGAGAAAACAATGACCTCTACAAAGACATCACTATCTATGAGAACTGGGAGACGAAATGCTGTGAAAATGATCAGGATCTGTGGACAGAGCTCACCACTGGGTGAATTAATAAAAAAGACCACCAAACATAAAATTTTTGGAAAAATTCAACTACTTATAACATTTTTTTCACTTATATCATCATATTGCACATGCATTCTAGTTTAAAATCATGAAGCGGCAATAGAATAGACAATCGGATTAAAAAGTTTCATAATTTTTATTAGTAACATATCATTACACCTTAAAAGACTTTCTAAAATACAAAATCACAAGAAATTAAAGTTTTTTATGCTTCAAAATGGTAAAAGGGGTATAAATGATTAAATCTAGACCTTGATTATCTTCTCTTGTATATGTGAAAAAAAAATGGCTTTTTGATTGTTATTTTACATTATTTATTCAATTCTGGTTTGAAAAGTTTTTATATGAAAACAAGATGTGTTTGTGAAACACTGATGCCCCCGTATGGCAGCTTATGGCGAAGGTTAAAGTTTCTTCAAATGCAACTCAAAATCCAGGCCAAAAGATAAGAAATGTTGATACCCAAAGAAAGGTCTTGTCTCGAGGAATACACCTGTGAAATTTGAAAGACCTAGATACAACTGTTCAAAAGTTATGGCGAAGGTTAAAGTTTTTAAATAAAAGTCAAACGTCAAGGTCAAGGTCAAAGTGGTTGGTGTCCAAAGGAAGATCTTGTCACAAGGATTACATTTGTGAAGTATGAAAGCCCTAGCACCAACCATTTAAAAGTTATGGCCAAGTTTAAAGTTTTTCAAAAGTAAGTCAAACTTCTAGGTCAAGATCAAAGGGTCAAAGTGGTTGGTACACAAAGGAAGGTCTTGTCACAAGGATTACATATGTGAAGTATGAAAGCCCTAGCATCAACCATTCAAAAGTTATGGCCAAGGTTAAAGTTTTTCAAAAGTAGGTCAAACTCCTAGGTCAAGGTCATAAGGTCAAAGTGGTGGTTGATATCCAAAGGAAGGTCTTGTCGCAAGGATTACATATGTGAAGTATGAAAGCCCTAGCTCCAACCATTCAAAAGTTATGGCCAAGGTTAAAGTTTTTCAAAAGTAGGTCAAACTCCTAGGTCAAGGTCAAAGGGTCAAAGTGGTTGATATCCAGAGGAAGGTCTTGTCACAAGGAATACACATGTGAAGTTTGAAACCCTAAGCACCAACTGTTCAAAAGTTATGGCCAAGGTTAAAGTTTTTCAAAAGTAGGTCAAACTCCAAGGTCAAGGTAAAAAGGTCAAAGTTGTTGGTATCCAAAGGAAGGCCTTGTCACAAAGAATTTACATGTGAAGTTTGAAACCCCAAGCACCAACTGTTCAGAAGTTATGGCCAAGGTTAAAGTCTCATAAAATTTTGCCAAAGTAGGTCAAACTCCAAGGTCAAGGTCAAAAGGTCAAATATGATGGTACCCAAAGAAAGGTCTTGTCACAAGGAATACACATGTGAAATATGAAAGTCATAGCTCCAACCAATCAAAAGTTATGGGCAAGGTTAAAGTTGACAACAGACAGACAGACAAACAGACAAACGGATAAACAGACAAACAGATAAACAGACAAACAGACAGACAGGACAAAAACAATATACCCCCGGGATCTTTCGATCCGGGGGCATAAAAATATGAAGCAATTCCATAAAACCTACTTATTTGTCCGTTCAAGTCAATTTTTAGGTCACCTGAGTTTACTCAGGTGACCTATTGCTATCCGTTTTCGTCCGTCGGCGTGCGTTAACATTTGAACATTTTCAGCTTCTTCTCTGAAACCGCTCAACCAATTTCAA